TACACATCAAATATATATAACAGTAGTTTTTAGTATATCTACTAAATGTTGGGTCATACAGTATTATTATGTTTAACTTTTTGAAGACTGCCAAACTGTTTTCCAGTGATTGCACATTGTATACTTACCTGCTTTTAGATTTTTATGGTTTCTTTGGTTTGTTTTTGTTTTATATGGGTACTTTCCAAAATTTTTCCTTTAAGAATACTTGTATAGGAGCTGGAGAGTGGTTAAGAGTGCAAACTGGAGGCTGGAGAGATGGCTCAGTGGGTAAGAGCACTGGCTGCTCTTGCAGAGGACCCGGGTTCAGTTCCCCAGTACCCACACAGTGGCTAACAAATATTCATAACTCCAGTTCCAGGGGATCTGATGCCCTCTTCTGACCTCCTTGGGCATTGTACAACATGGAGGCAAAACACTCACACATAAAATAAAAATAATAAAGTATTTTTAAAAAATGAGTGTGAGCATGCCTTTAATCCCAGCACTCCAGAGGCAGAGGCAGGCAGATCTCTGTGATTTCGAGGTCAGCCTGGTCTACATAGTGAGTTCCAGGCCAGCTGGGGCTACAGGGAGACCCTGTCTCAAAAGACCGAAAAAAAAAAAAAAAGCAGCAAGTGCCGTTAACTGCCGAGTCATCTCTTTGGTCCTACCGATTTAAGTATGACTTCAATTTCAAGTAATTCCCAAGCCCAAAACTCAGCCAGGAAGGAAGTCAGTAATTTACTAAGAAAGGCTTTAAGTGATGGAAAAGGATTTAGGAAAAGTTCTGTTTTGTTTTGAGGCAGGGTCTTATTCTAGCCCAGTCCTAGCTGACTTGTAACTCACTCACTGTGCATCCCAGGCTAGTCTCAAACTCATGATGATCCTCCTATTTAAGCTTCCAAGTGTTAGGTTTATAGATGTGAGCCACTACCTCTGGCTTTTTATTGGCGGGAGGTGTGCTAGGGATAGAACCCAGAGCCTTACACAGGCTAGACAGTGCTCTACCACTAAACTATATCCTTAGCCTAGAGCCAGTGTTTTACTGTTAGCTGACGATGTAGCACAGCTATAGAGGACTAGCCTAGCACATTTAATTAAGGCTTTGGGGTAGAGCCACAATGTTGCAAAACAAAACAAAACAAAACAAAACACATATATGCAGGATGTGGTGGTGCATGCCTTTAATCCCAGCACTCAGGAGGCAGAGGCAGGTAGATCTCTGTGAGATCCAGGCTAGCCTGGTCTACATAGTGACATAGTGAGTTCCAGGCCAGCTGGGACTACAGTAAGACTCTGTCTCAAAAAGACCAAAAAATAAACAAACAAGCAAACAAACAAAAAAACTTTCTGCCAAGAATTCAAGATATAAATATACCATGCTTTCCATGTAATCCCAAACAGAAGACTGAGGCCAGTTTAGACTTACATAGTAAGTCTTCCCAGTCAGCCAGGACCCTGTAGTGAGACCCTGTCTCAAAAAGCAAACAAACAAGCTGGGGTGGTGGCCTTTAATCCCAGCACTCAGTAGGCAGAGGCAGGTGGATCTCTGTGAGTTCAAGGCCAGCCTGGTCTACATAGGAAGTTCCAGGCCAGCTGGGGCTACCAAAAAAAAAAGCAAACAAAGCTAATCAATCAACCAACTAAACAAAAATCACTATGCTGAAATAAAATTAGTAAAAAGGGTGTGTGTGTGGGGGGGTAATTTAAAGAACCAGAGTTCAAGGATGTTACAAAAAACAAATAATTTTTAAAACTTTTAAAGATTTATTTTTATTTTGTGTTTGAGTGTTTTGCCAGTGTGTACCATGTACATGCAATGCCTGTAGAGGACAGAAGAGGGCATCAGATTCCCCGGAACTGGAGTTACAGATGACTGTTAGCCTCCAACTGGGTGCTGGGAGCTGAACCCAGGTCCTCTGCAAAAGCAGCCATTCCTCCTAACTACAGAGCCATCTCTCCAGCCCCCAAAGCAAGTATTTTTATCTCAGTTACCTGATTAGAGTGCTTAGAAGTGCTCTCGAGTGTTTAAATAACATTTGCTTTGGCACATTTAAGCATTCTCTATTGACTTCCCACAGGAAAGCTGAAGACTGAGCTTCCTCTTCCCACCAGTCCCCATCATACATGCACCTCATAGCTTCAGGTGAGCTAAACTCACATTTTGGTCAGTCAGTATTCAGTGTAGTAACTAAGATAAAAGTCCTGGAGCTGCAGAGATGGCTCAGTGGTTAAAAGCAGTGTCTGCTCTTGCAGAGGACTGAGGTCCAGTTCCCAGCACCCACATAGCAGCCATCTGTAATTCCAGTTCTGGGGATACAACACCCTCTTCTGTCATCTATGGGCCTGCATGCACAGGCAGGCAAATACTCACACAAATAAAATAAATGTGTATTTTCTTTTGTCTTTTTGAGAGAGTCTCCCTGTAGCCCCAGTTGGCCTGGAATCCACTGTGTAGACCAGGCTGGCCTTGAACTCACAGAGATCCGCCTGGCTTTGCCTTCCAAGTGCTGGGATTAAAGGCATGCACCACCATGCCCGGCCTAAATATAAATATTTGTCCTATTCACAATCCTGATTACTTTTCCTTCCCACATTTTCATATGTTTTACTTCACTGGAGTCCACAATTATTTTATTTGCTTGCTTAGTTTTCTATGTGTGCATTCAATTTCAACAGTTTCTATTCCATCCATTCCAATTCCTCACAATTTGACTTTTAAAGGTATAAGATTCAAGTCTAGGTAGGTGGCACTTGCCTGCAGTGCCAGCTTCTTAGGAGGCTGAGTGGGCCTATTGCTTCAGCCAAGGCCAGCCTGAGCAGGCAACACAGCAATCTAAAAAACAAAATGAATGGCCAGACGTGGTGGCGCACACCTTTAATCCCAGCACACGGGAGGCAGAGGCAGGCAGATCTTTGTGAGTTCGAGGCCAGCCTGGTCTACATAGTGAGTTCCAGGACAGCTGGGGCTACAGGGAGCCCGTCTCAAAAAGACCAAAACAAAACAACAAAAAAAAACCCAAAATGAATGTGTACCAGACCTGCTGGGGCTACAGGGAGACCGTGTTTCAAAAAAAACAAAAGTGCAAGATTTACTCAAACATTTGTTCATATTTGCTCATTGAAAAATCATCCCTAATAGTGAAAAAGTGGAAGCAAAAAAAAAAAATTTTTTTTTTGGCCTTGAACTTGCTATTTAGCCAAGGGGGCAATCTTCCTGCCTCAGCTTCCCAAATGCTGAGATCACATGTGTGGGTTTAGAAGCAAATTAAACATTTACCAACAAAGAACTGGTTAAATTCATTACAGTTTTCCCATGTCATTAAATAAATTATAGACCTTAAACTAATAAGATTGATTAATAAGTATTCACCCACCCTAGTGGTCCACATCTTTAATTCCAACTCTCAGGAGGCAGAGGCAGGTGGATTTCTGTGAGATAGAGGCCAGTCTGGTCTACATAGTATGTTCCAAGCCAGCCTGGGCTATACAGGGAAACCTTGTCTCAAAAAGAAACAAAGCTATAACAAACAACACCACACACACAAAAACCAAGTGCTGATACATGCACTAAAATAAGTCTTTAATTTTTTGTCAATGTATGCCTTTAAACTCTTAATATTTCACAATGTACATACACTTTTATAATCATTAAAAATATAAGGGGGCTGAAGAGATGGCTCAGGTTAAGAGCACTAGCTGTTCTTGAAGACCTGGGTTCAAATCCCAGCACCCACATGGCAGGTAACAACCACCCATAATTCCAGTTCCAGGGGATCTGACATCCTCTTCTGTCCTCCACCAGCACTACATGACATGAGTGCACTTACATGCAGGCAATATACTCATACACACAAAATAAAAATAACATTTTTCTTATTTTTTTTTTAATTCTTGCCAGGAGTGGTGGTGCACGCCTTTAATCCCAGCACTCAGGAGGCAGAGTCAGGCAGATATCTGTGAGTTCAAGGCCAGCCTGGTCTACATAGTGAGTTCCAGGGCAGCTGGGGCTACAGGGAGACCCTGGCTCAAAAAGACAAAAAAAAACCCAAAAAACCAACAAACAAAAAAACCCCAAAAAAACCAAGTAATTTTAATTGATTTTGTTTGTTGTTATCCACATAACTAATAAGACTAATATTTTAAAAGCCTTATTAAGCTGTTAGGAGAAAAAAGTTTTTTTCATCAGTTATATATTTGTTTTATAATTTAATCATCTTGAAAGTAGGACAACCAGATGTTTCATACTTCTAAAGAAGGTTTTCTGAATACGAACGGAAAGGCAATGGCTGTAAAAGCAGCATTTGGCTTAAACTAAACACTTGAACTGCAGCTACAGTGTGAAGCAGCAGCAGCAGAGCCAAGCCCTGTAGGCGTGGCCTGGCCCGAGCTCAAGTCTGGGAGCGTTAATCATTTAGCACCTAGGCTTCCAGGCGTCTAGTCTGCATAAAAAGGTTGGTCCTTCCAGTCCCTACACAGCAGTGATGCTCAAACGCAGCCATGCCCTGCAGTTAACAGGCTCGGTCTTCAGTGTCCCAGGGGCTTTCACAGCACCTTTCAATGGGGCCATGCCCTCCGAAATAGCTAGCACCGGAGACAGGCTGTCCCCTGGCTGTCCTCTGGTCTAACAGCAGGGCTCACTTTCTGGGAATTAGGGACGTCTGGCGCGGCTGCATAAAACACATCTATTATCTAGGAAGTTAAATATAAGCAGGCCAAAGAGACTGTGCATCCAACTTCTATGGCTCCCGAGTCTTTACGATCCAAGCTGGGGGGCTGTAGAGGCAGCTCAGTGGGTAGAGTGCTTGCCTAGAACCACACAGCCCCAGTATCGTATAGAACCCGGTCATAGTGGTTGGTGCACGACTAATCTCAGCACTTGAAAGGTGGAGGCAGAAGGATCTGAAGTTCAAGGCCGGCCTAGTATACGGGAGACTCCGCCCCCCGTTCCCCAAAGAGATCTAGGCTGGGATCCCCTGGAACTCGCCCCGATCCCGGTGCCCCAGGGAACCACGCACCGAAACGAGCGGGACGCGCAGATGATGCCCCAGCAGCCGGTTGAAGGCGGGGAACGTGCTCCAGGCGAGGAAGGCTCCGGGCTCCGGCCCCAGCAGGGCCACGAGCAGCACCTGGTGCTGGAAGCGCACGCTCGGCTGCTCCTCGTAGCTGCTGCGCTTCAGCCAAAACCCTGAGAACACAAGCGGGTGGAGGGCGAGGTCAGCACCGCCCAGTGGCCTGCAGCCCCGTTGGCCTCCAGGCCGGGGGCCCTCCAGGCCCGGGCAGGCTCACCGTGGCTGCGGAAGGCCACCAGCAGCGGGGGGATGTAGGTGAGCGTGGCGGCCAGCAGCAGGAAGAACGCGGCCTTGGAGCAAAGGCCGGCGCGGTAGCCACGCTCGGCCGGGTGCGAGAAGAGCACGTAGAGCGCCATGAGCCCCGGGCCCAGGCGCCAGGTCTCCACGGCAACCTCAGCGCGTGCCTGAGGAGCCAATAGCAGGCACGTGGGCCTCTGGGAGGGGTGGGGCTAACGGGAGGCGTCGCCTTAGGTTTTACATAGCGCCCGAGGCCTCGTCAAAACAAAACAACCAAAGACAACAAAAGAAAACCAAAATGATGCTCCCGTTCGCCAAAGTCTGTGCAAAACCAGATGTGCATAAAAATTGACTTAGTAGATATCTCCCTACAGATCATCTGTTAACCCCAACGTGGGGCTGGCGCTGTAGCTCAGTTGGTAAAATGCTTGTGTATCATGCAGGAAACCCTAAGGTCCATCCCCAGCACTTTTATTAAACCAGCCATGATGGTCCATGCCTGTAATCCGGACAACTCGGGAGGTGGAGGCTGGAGGATCAGAAGTTCAAGGTCATCCTTGGCTACCTAGCGAGTTACAGGCCAACCTGGGATACTTGAGGCCCTCTCACTTACAAAAATACCAGTGTGATTCATACAGAATCATTCACATAAACGGGGCCACAGTCCTTTTCTTTTGCCTCCAAATGCAGCGACATTTCCACCATGCCCCAGAGCAAGGAAGACAGAAAAACAGGACACACGGTCCCTGGTTGTTCAAAGGCTAGAGAGTACTTTACTACATGGCTCTTTCAAAAGGTACTTTCTTAATTACTAGGGTATAAGCTTTGGTATTGTCACCCCCAAAGTAAACATTTGCTGGTTACTTAGGAGAGTGGGTCTCCTCCCTCCCTAAACCCCAATATTTCAACATGGAAGATAGATTTTGTTTTGAGGTAGGGTCTCTCTAGGTAGCCCTGGATGGCCTTCAACTCACCTCCAAAATCAACTCAGATTTTGGAGTCCTTGGGAGTACAGACACCCACCATTAATTATATCCTGATCCTAGAAATTGTTAGGCTTAAATCTGTCATATGATCCAGACATTATATTTTAATCTCGCTTTAACGATGATTTTGACTTATTTAAATAGCTACCGAGTGCTGGAGAGATGGCTCAGGAGTTCACAGATGGTCGTTGTCAAGCCTGACAACCTGAGTTCAATCCTTGGGTCCCACACTGTGTGGAAGGAGAGAACCGACTCCTTCCTGCCTGTTGTCCTCTGACCGACACATGGTGCCGTGGTGACACACAAATAAATAAATGTAATACATTTTTTAAAAATACCCACTAAAGCCAGGCAGGCTGGCACAGCCTTTTAGAACCAGCACTTGAGAGGCAGAGGCAGGCAGATCTCTGTGAGATGGAGGCCAGCCTGGTATACATAGCAAGTTCAGACCAGCTGGGGCTACACGGAGAACCTGTCTCAAAAAACCAAAACCAAAACCCACAAACAAACGAAAACCAAAAACCAAAACCACTAAAATAAAGATCTTTCGGAATAGTTGGATCTAATGTAGATTCTTTGGGGTGACTGTTCTGTGAGGAAGGCGGTATTTGCCTCTGAAGTTTCAACCGAAGGAAACACATACTGTAGTTAAATCACTGCTGGAAAGGGGGGTGGGGGGATGACTGTTAAGAATTTAGGTGTACAAAGTGGTTCAGCCTCCCCTGAGAAGTCCTGAATTTGTTAAAAGTAATTAGTAATAATGGGTACTAACAATTCCTCTTTGTTTCCATCATTTGAGGAAGCTAACGTTTGTGGTTTTATTTCAGTTCTTTAAAAGAGGATCTTTAAAAAATTTTAAGGCTGGAGAGATGGCTCAGTGGCTGAGTACTTACTGCTCTTGCAGAGGATCCGGGTTCAGTTCGCAGCACCCACATCAGGTAGTTCACAACTGCCCATAGCTCCAGTTCCAGGGGCTCTAATGCCCTCTGTTCTTTGTGGGCACTTGCATACACATGGTACATATACACTCATGCACACATACACATAAATTAATTTTTTTGAGACAGGGTCTCACCAGGTAGCCCTGACTGTCCTTGAACTAGTTATGTAGAAGAAGCGAATCTCGAATTCATGAGAGATTCGCCTACCTCTACCTCCCAAGTAATGGGATTAAAGGCATGTGGCACCACGCCTGGCAAGATAAATAAATTTAAACTTAAAAAAATTATTTATTGGGGTTGGAAAGATGACTCAGTGGTTAAGAGCACTGGCTTCCTTTGTCCACCCTGCCTAGGACAGACTGGAAGAGAGCTGTGAGTGTGGGGTCTCCCTCCATCATTGTCTGCTCCTCTGGCCCTTCTACTCTCACAGCAGCATCTTGATTGCTCAGGAAAAATAAGGATAGTATTTCTTAAGGAAATAGTTTATTTTAATTAGACACCTACAGTCTCAAAAGAGGTGTTTCCTTACCAGCATAAGCAAAATACCACATTAAACTCGTGTAGTCCTTACCCTAGCGCTGCTGCCTTCCTAGGTCTTCGGAACATCAGACAAGGGACTAGACAGGGGTAGCACCTGGAAGTCCAACACGGCTTTGCGACAGGCAGACACAGCGGGGGCAGAACAAAAACCAAGGGTCTGAATGTTCTAGCTTTCCAGGGTGGGCAGACCAGATAATCTCCAGGCTGTGGTGGTGTTGCCTTGTATGTATGTCCTTGAATGTGGGTTTGGGTGAGTACAGAACGTAGGAGCATGTGGAGGAGCGGCTTTCTGGGTCTCGGCAAAGAAATCTGACGAGAAAGCTATCTTCACACACACACACACACACACACACACACATATATATATATAATTTTTTTTGTCTTTTTTTGAGACAAAGTCTCCCTGTAGCCTCAGCTGGCCTGGAGCTCCCTATAAAGACCAGGCTGGCCTTGAACTCACAGAGAACTGCCTGCCTCTGCCTCCCAAGTGCTGGGATTAAAGGCGTGTGCCACCACATCTGACTTATCTTTATATTTTTAAGAAATGGGGGAGAGGGTTCAGCCAAGGTCCATCACTGGGTTCTCTCATCCCCCGCCCCCCCACAGATTGTCAGCTGGAAGTGAACCACCTAGTGAAAGAGGGGAGCTCTGTGCTAGGAGTCCCCATAAACATATATATTGTGATTCTCTGTATATAGAAAAAAAATACTGTAAAATAAAGTTTAACTTTACTCCAAAAAAAAAAAAAAAAAGCACTGGCTTCTCTTGCAGAGAACCAAGGTTCAGTTCTCAGCACCCAAATGGCTAACAACTGTCAATTCCAGTTCCAGGGCTCTGACTCCCTCTTCTGGCCTCAGTGGGTGTTGTATGCACTGATACATTTACATACATGCATGCAGGCACTTATTAAAAAATTAATTTATTGTAAGTGTGCATTTTTTTTTTGGTCTTTTTGAGACAGGGTCTCTCTGTAGCCCAAGCTGGCCTGGAACTCATTATGTAGACTAGGCTGGCCTTCCTGCCTCTGCCTCCCGGGTGCTGAGATTAAAGGTGTGGGCTACCATGCCCGGGCACTGTGCATGTATTTTGTACACATGTGCCATGTGTGCTTGAGGAGGTCAGAAGACAAATTGCGGGAATCCGTTCTCTTCTTCCACCATATGGGTGCCTTTACCCACTGATATCACATTTAAAAATGCTAAAGATCTGTGTATATTCTGCTATTTTCACATATTCATAACCAAACACTGACTTTTCAGTGTCCATTTCCATATGCTCTCCTGTTTCCCCCTCCAGGGACAAATAAAGGTGTGATTTTAAAACTGCAAGTTTTAGCCAGGCTTGGTGGTGCATGCCTTTAATCCCAGCACTTGGGAGGCAGAGGCAGAGGGATCCCTGTGAGTTTTTAAGGGCAGCCTGTTCTACATAGTGAGTTCCAGGCTACTGGGAGACCCTGTCTCAAAAAGACTAAAACAAGCAAACAAAAACCCTGCACGTTTTAGCTGGAAATAGTGATTCATACCTGTGGAATCCCAGCATTTAAGAGGCTGAGGCAGGAGGATCAGAAGTTTAAAGCCAGACTCAACTACATAGCAAGTTTGAGATAAAAACAAATACCACAAGGTAGGGAGGAGATGGCTCAAAGGGAATAGCACTTGCTGCACTAACTTGAGGACCTGAGTTCTCATCCCAGCACCTGTGTATAAAGCTGGGCCAAACTGTGAGGGGCAGAGACAGGATCGCTGGGGCTTGCTGGTTACCAGCCTAGCTCCAGTTTCAGGTAAAGACCCTGCCTCAAGGGAATAAGGTAGAACTTGATAGCACAGGACACTTGATGCCTTACCCTGCCCTCTGCATGTGCACATATACCACATGGATAGGAGTTCAAGGCCAGTCTTTACTACATAGTGAGTTCAAGACTGACCTGGGCTATATGAGACCCTACCACAAAACACCCAAACTAACATCACTGTGGTGTTTTGAATAAGGCTCCAAGTATTTGGACATGGGGTCCCCGGTTTGTGGCACTATTTGGGTAAAGTCATGGAACTTTTAGGAGGTGTGGCCATGCTGGAGGAAGCAAATCACTGGGGATAGGCTTTGAGAATTCTTACGCCTTGTTGGATTTCCCTTATCTTTCTGTACCTGTGCCTGCTTGAAGATGTGACTTGGGTTTTTGCTCTGGCCACCTCTGCCACCATATCTCTCTTGTCATTATGGACTCTAACCCACTGGAATTGTAACCAAATAAACTCCTTCTATAACTTGTTTTGGTCAATGTGTTTTATCACAGCAACAAAAAAAAGTAACTAATACAACCACCACTACCACCAAAAACAAAAAAACAAAAAAACAAAAACCCAAAACAAGTCAAACAAAACAAAACAACACCCCTTACCAAAAATAAATCCTTTACGTTTGTTCCCCTCTTGTATAAGAACTGCTATTCAGAGTCCGTTTAGAATTCTTGAAGATTTGCTTCAAAGCTTCCCAACATTTCTCTTTTTAAAAATTATTTAAAATTTTTATTTTATGTGTATTAGTGTAGTGCCTACATGTAAGTAAGTGAACCCGTGTCATGCAACGCCACCAGAGGTCAGAAGAGTGTGTTGGATCCTCTGCCATGTGGGTTCTGGGAATAGAACACGAGTCCTCTGCAAGAGCAGTCAGTGCTCTTAACATCTGAACTATCGCTCCAGCCCCCCATTCTTTT